AGGGTGCAGGTGGTAATTATAAAAATAGACACTAAATAAAGAAAAACATAATAAAATGTTACAACATTTTATTATGTTTTTACAAGCATACATACTTTATGGAGGACCCCTTTCCAAATACAAATATTTTTACTTTATGATAGGAAATAATAAAAAGATTTTTTCAAGAATAGACTGATGAAACGATCAACTTAATAGAAGAATGAAAACAAATCTTCTAAAAAATTTCCCTTAAAAACAAATTAATAACTAAGTGTTACAAAGGGTAAAAAACACAAGCCTCTTGATTATTTAGGTTTGATAAGATATAGCCAGGTCGGGGTTTTTGACTGAGGCTGCATAAACATTAATACATCCTAAAGTATATTTTTCTTCTTCAAAATTCATGTTATATTTTGTATATGCATATATAAACATCATTATGGTAATTATAATTATGATGATGATGATCATCATCATCATCTTTTCTTTCTGCAAATACTACACCATATAAATAAAGTTTATATAAATATTAAAGGATATTGATGCCAGCATCTAAATAAATATCAAACATATATGTTTATGTCCATAATATAATTTCAATTTTAAGTCAAACTTCATTCTATTTCATACTTTTCACAATCTTGAGCAGTTGCTTTATTGATCATTTATTTTATCTTTTTTACAAAAACATCTCTCTTAAGAACAAATGTACTTTTATTATTCCAAGTAGCCAATGTAAAAAGGTCCCATTTAATATTAAGATATGTTATTCTCAGTTAAATAAATCTTGTATCTTTTATCAGATGTTAGGTTTTAGAGACTTTTGGTTAGTGTTCATTAACTAAAGTAAGTCTAACATTTTAACTTATTAATTATATAATATTTAATAATATTCAATTTTTACAAAGTGCTAAATAAGCGGTACCAATATTTTAAAACACTTTGACCTCTTTAACTATCCTACGATTACTCTTCACTCTGTTATTAATTTCTTTATATAAAGGTTTTGAGATTATTAAATTATTTCTTACTAAATGCATCAATAAAGTTATTCTTGAAGACCTACACTCTTCTTTATTTCAAGTAACTTGAAGGATATCACAAAGTATCTTGTAGTACCCTTAAATCTTTGCTCCTGTATTGTTTCTTATCAACCTTCATGAAATTTTAACATCTAAAGTTGCTCTATTTGTTGACAACTCAACTTTATACTCTATTTCTTTTTTCTACTAATACAATTATGGTCGAAGCTCAAACAAGTTATCATCTCTATTACGGTAAACCAAAACTCATTCTCGCTTTTTTCTTATTCAACAAGTTGCATCCTTTTACTGTATTTGTCCCTTCATGCTATAAAAACTCTTTTTAATCCAGTTTTTTCCTTGCACATTAAAAAAGAACCATCCCTAGGGAGGGTGGCACCTGGGGCTAATGTTAATACGACGCCCTCTCCCTCCAGTAATAGTCGCATATATAAACTTTTTGTGCTGTCATCAATACTTTAATACTTACACCACCTACCAATCTATCATAAAGATAAATATATATACATTCAAGCAATCAATCTTTTTTGTGTCATTGTTGTATATAGGTAGGTTTTAATTAACTTCAACTTACTGACACTACATTCACTGCTGGCCACTGTCATTAAAATTGTTAGCAACATGACTTGTGCTATTCATATATACTATACACATATTAGGAAGGTCTTTTCTGTTGGTGTTTTTGATTATATTGATACTTCTAATGGTAATAGCAGGCCTTGCGATGAATAAATTTTTTTTATTTATTTATTTTCATAAAGCGGTTGATAAGCACAATCTCTCGTATTACTAAAAAACTTTAACGAACGTTTTGCATAGATTTTTAATGTTTACAAGGAATTTTATTTTTGGTAAAATAAAATAAAATAAAATGTTAGAATAAAAATCTTATAGGTATAAAAGACATATTTCAGTGAAAAAATTATTCTTAAAAATTATTCTTAAAAATTATTCGAAAAACTATTGATGTTCTATTTTTCAGCAGCCGTTCTTGAGCACGCTTCGTTGAGTTTCGGTAACTTCTAACAAAAAAGCGATTGAGTAATTTTTTTTGAGTTACTTTTTACAAAAATTTTAATAGCTATACTTTTTTATTGAATCAAGTAGAATACGTTTTAATATTCGTCTTTTATTTTTTTTTATTTGCGCTTACCAATTTTTAAAATGTTTCCTCGAAATTACTCTTAAATACTTTAAATACATCTAACAGTTAATAAATATTTTTAAACCTATGGAATAATTTTAAAACCTAACAAACCCCCGTAAAATAATTATTTAAGTTCAAAATCTAAAACTAAAAGAAAGTATTTTTGTTAAACTTTATTGACAACTTTGCTATTGCTGAATAATTTTATTAAAATGTTAGCTTAGAAGAATTAAACTTTTTTTTTAATCTGAATTTTTTCTACTTGTAAATAATGAGCATATTTAATTTTTTTGTAATTCAAACTTTTGTATCAATTGCGTGCGGTTTTTAAAATACTTTATTAAATGTTAAAATAATCGTAAATTACTTCATTAAAACTCCGCTCAAAAATATCTTTAAATATACTCAAACAAAATTTTTTTTGCTTGACGCAAATAGCCCTAGCTACACGCAAAATCGCTCTTGGACGAAGTAAAATTCACATCGCCTGACGCTTTATCGCAAGGCCTGTAATTGTGTTTTGCTGACCGCCTTCTGCTCACACTATTTGTCAAAAACAGTAGCTATCAAACTGCCATGTAGAATTTTATTTGTACAGTTCTTCCTCATTTATATCTGAAATATTTTTCACTGTCAGATGTTCTTCTAAAATTTTTATTTTATAATTCTCATCAGGTTTTTTCTTTGGTTTTTTCAGGTCAAATAAGAATTCCCACTTTGACTCTTATTTTGAGAACTTGTCTATTCTGCCTTTTAAAGATGATTTAGTTGTGCCAATTAGAGGGTAAGAGATACAGCGCTTGATTGATGGATAAAAAATTTATAGGTTCTTTGAACAACTCCAAACGGCAATATAGACTTCACTAATGATTTAGCTCGGTCTGATATAACTATGTTCAAGCAGTGGCAACCACAGGGTGAAGGCTTGTGGGTATTACACTTTTTCGAATTGCAACCATATTAGAATATCTTTCTCCATCTTCAATTCAACATAAATGTTCCATCAAAATTGGATCAAAATTTACCAAGTAATTGGATAAGACCAAGGAAGTTCCCATTATTTTTGGTGTACAGCTTTAATGAGCTTCCACGAAATGCAAAATTGTTGCATAAGACCTTGATTGGCAGCTTGATCATTTTTATCCTGATTGTTGCTTCAGTCCATTCCTTAACTGTAAAGAGATGGAGATGTCTTTTTTAAGCTTGCTCTTTGAACTTTTTCCAGTTGTTGAAACCTTCTATTTTCCCAAAATATGATTTTAGAGTTGGGTCAAACTGATGACAAGGAAGACAATAAACTGAATCAGTTTCTGGAGAGTATATAAGCCATCTTCTCTTACTTGTTCATCATTTCTTACTACCTTGTCGAAATTCAATTGAGAAATAACCTTTTTGTGGTTTTAGGATAGTCTTAATTACTCTTCAGGAAAGGTATCCCAGCAAACAATAGACGTCTTTTAGACTGTCTAAAATTGAACTAATTTGTATCTATTGCCGATACGTATATTTTAGACGTATATTAGAGATCGAAAAGACGTCTGATTCTAGAGATACTATTTTTGCTATGTTATAGATGCATATTAGATGCATAAAATAGATCGTGCATAGATAATTTTTTTTTCATCTAAACTTAGATGTCTATAAGAGGTCTTTTATAGATTTGTTAGAAAAAAAAGGAAAAATTTTCAACTAATTTTACGGAGCGATAATTATAAATGACCGCCATTTAAAATTTAAATTAAAACCATGCAGAAACTTATTTCGAAAAAAGCATGAAGGTTTTAACCTCTGGAAGACATTAATGATTATTTCTTTTGATTATTTCTTTTGATAAATTTTAAATAATAAAATAACATGCTATTATAGTTCTTATAATATTTCGATGATTTGATGCTTAACATGTTTGTTGAAATTCTTGTGATTTGAAATTTATTTTGCAGAAATATTATAAAATTAATATTTTCAAGTTGATACTTTTATTTCTAGAATAAAAGATAATGTAATTAAAATATATATATATATATATATATATATGTATATATATATATATATATATATATATATATATATATATATTATATATATATATATATATATATATATATATATATATATATATATTATAATGTTTTATAATTAAATTCATTTTCATGTTGTGAAGAATACAACTTTCTATATCAGATGAGATATATGTTAAAGAAAGCATTAAAAATAAGAATAACAAATCATACCACTCTTCATTGCCAGAACCTCCGCCACCTATTATGAATAAGCCCAATGATAAAAGTATAATACAAATATCATAATTTTTTCTTGATGGTTTATAAATTCAAATACATTCTTGTTTAATTTGATCTGAATAATATCTATCTAGCTATTAGTCTTTTTTATGTATTACTAAGGTTTTCCTTTTATTTTAACTATTTAGGTGTCCTATTATATGTAATATTGTTAAATTGGTTGCATATATTTATATCATTGACAACATTCTATTGTATTAAATAATCCTTTAATCAACTTGATATGAAAATTGAAAATTGATTGAAAGCATGCTGAAATTGTTTGAATTCAGAAATTGAAAGAGTACAAAATTGTTTGAAAGATTAAATTAAGTAACAGGTATGGTTGAGGGATTATTTATAGTTCTAATTATAATTATTTCTTTTGAATAGAGTTGTTATCAGATTCAGAGATTGAAGATGTTTTTTCTTCACATTTTATTGATGAACACAATAAAACCAAGCTAAGTTCACATTGTCAAAGAGTTTCAAGTTTTAATGTGAGTAATTTTGGTTTTTACACCACTGAATGTTAATGTGGAGGTCTTTTTTATTAATTTGTTTTTGTTTTAAAATAATTGTAAAAGATAGGTATAAAAGAATAGAAATGGATTATTTATAATATTGTGATCCGATAAATCATGTGTGTAGCATTTGGTCAACTTTACCTTTAGTAGTTAAACAAAATTCTTTAATATCGTAACCTTTTACAGGAGGAAATATCAAGAATTGCTCTTGAGCCAAGCCCAAAGAAAAATAAACAAAAGTTATCACCAGGGCTGTGGAGTCTGAGTTGCGGAGTTAAGACATTTTCAGCGGAGTCAGAGTTGCTAAACAAAATCGCGACTCCGACTCCAATAGTAAAACTTCTCTGTATTGTACGTGCATGTACAAAACATTCAATTAACCTTATGTTCATACTAAACCTCAAAGAACGTTTCATAAATTTGTCAAAAAAGAAATTTTTAACTTATACCGTAATATCTTTTAAAGAATTTGAAGAATTTTTCAAAAATATTGCTTTGGAGTTGTAATCGAAGTTGGAGTTGGAGTCAGAGTCGGAGTTGTGCTCAAAAAGTTTCAACAACTGGAGTTGGAGTCATTACTTTTTATTTACAACTCCACACCCGGGGTTATCAGTAACGGTTTGATATAAATCTGAATATTATTTGTTGTTGTTTATTTGTCAAAGTTAAATAAGAATTTCTGTAAAACTTGAATGTTTAATTATTTTTAGTGGGCTTACCAATAACTTGAGTGGATTATTTTTTTTTATTAGATTATTATTGCAAAGTAGTTTATTTAGTCAAAATTATTTTTTATTAGGTTTCCAATCAGACTCTTTTGCCTTTGTCTGATTCTACAGATAAAGTTTTAGCTGATTTAAAAAGTAAATTTTCCAAAATATTATGGCAACTTCTGCGATGGAGTAATAAAAAAAATTACATGTATTTTTGGAATTTTAGTTTAAGTTACTCAAGCATAATTTGAATTTTAAAATTGTTATTTCATTGTTTTGCAGTTTGGTTTTATGAGCTAAATATGTTAATCAATCTTTTTATTCTTGTTTGTAGAGATGCAAAATGTTATTCTCAAGGAGCTTGCAGAAATAAAAGTTCTTTTAAAAGAAGTTATAGAAAATAAGTTTCAGGCTACTGGGGTGAAGTTGCTAGAATCAGTGGATGAAGTGGTTACACTGGATAATAAACTAAAAGATAAAACCGAGTATACTAATATGGTAATCTAATTATCTTAATTTTTAATAAGTTTGTTTAAATTTGGTTTATTAGTTTAGAATCTAAATGAAAAGTATTTGTAAATGAACTAAAATAACTTTTGTTATACTCAATATGCTGTAAAGAAATGTAAGTTACACTAATTACATTTATTTCAGCTTGATAGTTTGAAAAAGATTGGTGGCGGAAAGCCAAGAGAACATGTTTTTTTGTTCATGAAAAGGTAAATGATTATATTTTTATTAATTATTAGAAATATGATCAAAAGGGACATTTTGATCATATTTCTTTTATATAGCAATTCATTTTGACCATTATTTGTTATGGATTTACTTTTAACATGACAATTTGATAAACTCGGTAGCTTCACTGTAGGTGTTTAAGTTTAATTGTGTGGTAAAGTAAGTGTAATGCTAAACCTTGTTTAGCATTTTATTTTCAAATTTAATGCTTATACTTTTCATAATTTTAAGCATTCATATATTAAAATATGTTTAAATTTATTACATATATTAAAATAAAAATCTTTACAAATATATTTCAGTTTATTGTTAAAATATTTATCAGGTTATTTTTGAATCAGTTACAGTCCAAATTAAATCGAAAAGGAAATGGGGATAGAAAATCTAGTAAATATACGAAGTGTTTTGCGAGGTATAGTTTTAATAGTATTTACAAAACTGATATCTGTATTAAATGATATTCTTCGTCTTTTTTGTGACATGCTAGAATTTTTGTATCCATAATACAAGTTCCTTTAGTTTTTTCATAAAACAATTGTTGTTTATTATTGTATCTGGTTGAGCTACAAATTTTCTTGTTTATATATATATATTTTTATATATATATATATATATATATATATATATATATATATATATATATATATACATGTATATACATGTATATATGTGTGAATGTATATATATATATATATATATATATATATATATATATATATATATATATACATGTATATATGTGTGTATGTGTGTATATATATATATATATAAATATATATATATATATATATATATATATATATATATATATATATATATATATATATATATATATATATATATATATATATATATATATATATAATATTTCATAAAAATAGATTATTCAGAATTCTACATGTCTTTTAAATGTCATTAATGTATATATTTTAGATATCGGCGACAAGGAAGAAGATGTTGACGGCAATGCAGAAATATAGTTTCTTATGTATATTTTTGTGACATAAAAATCAGTAATTTTAGTTAAATGTTTCTTTACTTATTTAATTTAATCATTTTTTATGACTAATT